GAGGCAAGTCTGTAGAGTTGGGGTGGGGAGTGTGCCTTCTCCAGCTGCAGCATCCTAAGCTGCAAGAAATGGGGAGCTCAGACAGAGCTCTGTGCCACAGATGAGAACCTTCAGCTGGATCTTGTGAGAAAGGGATCCTGTATAGGCCATAGCCTGGTTACCTTGGAGAAGAGACCCTCGGGCTGACCATCTCCCCACTGGAGATGCTGAGGCCTGGGCTTCAGTCAGGGAGGAGTTCCTGGGCTCTAGAGATGAAAGTCAAGGAATCAAAGCATGGCACAGAGTCGCATGCCTATAATTCCAGTATCCAGGAGGCTGAAGCAGGAGGCTCTTTGCCACGGACCAGCCCAGTTGGGTTCTCCGCGTCCTCGGGAGAATCAGAGGTTTGGATATCAGGAAGGCACAGTTTCAGGAGAATGACAGTCAGAGGCCACACTGAAGAGTGATTCTGCTGCAATTTCCTGAAGTCAGGCCAATAATTTTATAGTAATTTCATAGGGAAACACCTTAAGGTTGGCATACTGCCCAGAACACTTACCAAGTGTTACCAACACATTTTTACCAAGAATACAAAGTTTACATTTTAACTCAAAAGTGTACCCAAACATAAAGCAGTGCCCACAAGAAATCTTGACCTAAGAACTTTTTGATCAAAGCAAACAAAGGACAAAAAAAAACAAAAAACAAAAAAACCCTCAAACTGCAGTTTCATTATTGCTAACCAGTGAAGAGGAAAGTCAGGAGTTAAGTCAGATACCTGCCAAAATCTTTCTCTGCATCAAAGTCTAAATACACCTTTGTTAATGTCCTCTTATATGCCTTGCTAAAGATTTATAATCTTCCTTAGAAACAAGACGCCAAAGAAAGGCATGCTCGAGCCAGCTGTATTTTCTTATGCTATCTTTTCCTAAGAAGGAGCCCATTGTTTTTTTCACTATTCTTATAATGCTTTTAATACTAAATCTAATCCATTACTTCTCTTAAAATTATTTTTCTTCCATTCTATTCTTGTTAAAGCTTTTAGTAATCTATCAAAAATATGTTTCCCTGAATAGCTAATTGTGCTATTCCAAAATTCATAGAGAAAGATAAAAAAAAAACAAAAACAAAAAACAACTCATTAATCCAGCCCCACAACCACGACTGAGAAAGCGTAGAGATCCTAGAATACATCTTTTTAACTTAGGTGGTGGGGGAAACACTTGCTAGGGACCTCCAGGGAGCGTATTTCCGAAGAAAGCGTATCTCCCGCCTAGTAGCACAATCTATTGATATGCTACACTGGAGACGCTGGAGTGGGTATAGCAGCTCTTGAGTTTGAGGCCAGCTTAGGATATACAGTAAGATCCTGCAGTTAAGGTTAAATATACAATATAATAATTAGAATAAAAATTGGAATCAGCAGGGCTCAGAGATGTGGTGTCTAGGTGTCTGTGGCCACAGGGCATTTAGAACAGGTGACTGGCTTCAGGCCCAGATTTTGAGGACATATTGGGAGCTTCTTTGAGTAAGGGTGCCAGGTAGGAAGTGGGGCAGGGAAGTAAAGTTGGAAAAAAGATAGAAGGGAAGTTGGTGACTTATCAACTGTTCAAAGGTTCAGCTGTGGTGACCAGGACTCCACCCCTTACCCCCACCTGACAACTCAACCACTTTGGGGGACAGTATGGCACCAGGAATCTAGGTGTCCTGCTTTTTTTTGTTCCAACATTAACTATGGACACCCCATGGGTGCTCACTACTGGGGACCAAACACTGACTTATGTCCCTTACACAGGGACAGTCTTGACAAAGCATGGGCGTGGAAACTTGCAAAAGGCTGTGGCCAGCACCTGCCACAGTGACACAGGGGACAGACATGGGAAGGAGAAGGCCACAAGTTCTGTCAGTCTCACTGGAGTAAGTCAACGAGACTGAGCAGCGTGTCATGTACAGTTTCCCCAAGTTGAACACGATGGCAGTACCATTCATCTTGAAGCAAAGCATCCATGATGACCCTCATGAGAGCTCAGACCTAGTAACATCTTCTTGTAGAGGGCTCGGAGAGAATCACAAGACCCCTACAAGACCTTAACGAGGGCCTGCCTCTGCCTGGGATTCCAGTCTCACTCTGTGAGAGTTAAACAGTTGCTGAGGTGGGATGTCTCAGTGTTGTAGCTGTGTTTGAAATGCCCCATACTCCTATAAATAGCTCCAGTAAGCTCATTGGTTCACCAAGCTGGACTTGAATAAAGTCCTTTCTTTGGTCTGCTGATGTTCTTCCATCTGGAGGAGATGTTTCTTATGGTCTCCTCAGGGAAAGTCACACAGCATCATGGGACTGGAGAGCTGAGTTTTGTTACTGTGAACTTGGCTCCAAGGGCAGGCACCTTCCGGGCTCTCAGAAATGTCAACCTCTCCCTCTGTATTAGTCAGTGACAAAATACCTGATGGATGTGAGGAAGGAAGGGCTTATTTGGGCTCACAGTTTGAGGGCACAGTCTGTCCTGTAGGGGAAGGAAGGACAATAGGAGCTTTGGTAGCCACGGTGGCGGGAACATGAGGAAACAGCTGTCACGTCACATCTGGTCAGGAAGCAGAGAGATGAGGGCTGGAGTCAGCTGCTTCCCCCTTTTATTTATTCTAGGACTCCAGCCCACAGATGGTGCCACCCACAGCTAAGTGAGTCTTCTTGCCTTAGTTAAGTCCATCTAGAAACTCCCCTACAGACACAAACATGTCTCCTAAATGATTCTAAACTCAGTCTTATGGTCACTGAAGCCTAACTATTGCACCCCCACCCTGATTTGGCCTAGGATGTCCTTGGAGCCCCACCCAACCCCAGAGGCATACTTGCACTTCTATGCTTACTCTTCTCCAGAAGAGATGATGACTGAGCTAGAGTTCAGTGAACAAGAAGGTGGACAGGCATCAAAATGTCAGAGAACAGAAATGGGCCACCTGTACCCAAGGGTGTCTGCATAGCTCAAATCGCAGGATGTTTTTCAGCTGCCAAAGGTTCCCCTACTCTGGTAGCCTGGGATACCCTTCTCTACCAACTCTTTACAGCTTAGCCCCGGTTTGTCACTCACAGAAGAACATCTCTGGTTAGAAAGGGTCTGATGCCATAGCAAGAGCCCAAAACCAAATAAACCAAACCCCCAACAACAGTGCCATTGTTTAGAGCAATGGTAGAAAGCAGGAACCATGTGCCTCAAACCTAGCTACAAATTAGTAAAAGGGTTTCTGAGTGGTCAGGGTCCTGAGGACTATCCTGTACTGGAAGGTGGGGTAAGTGTGTGTGTGTGTGTGTGTGTGTGTGTGTGTGTGTGTGTGTGTGTGCATGCCTATCTCCTTGGGAGGATCCAGGAGCCTACTGTTCTTTGCCTCACCCCATCAGGTATTTGTCAATATCCAGAGGCCTTTTAGAGTGTCACAGTTGGGGGTAGAATCCAGGATTGGTGCCAAACATCCTGCCATGCACTAAGGTCCCCACTGCAGCTACTCAGCCCAAGAAGTCCTTGGTACCAAAGTGGAGACCCCTATTGTAAGGGAAGGTTCTAGAGTGACCATCTGAGCCATGCTAACAAATATTACCCTGGACCTGTTCTTTGGTGCTGACAGAAGGAGATGAGGTTGGTGGTGGGGAGGCTTAGAGATTCAGTAACAGTGCAGGAGGTGGTGGATGCTGGGAAGAGAAGGTGCAGGAAGCGAGGGAGCCAGACCCTAGAGCTGTCAGCAAGGCCAAGACTATGCAGGGAAATTCTTAGGAGCTTTGTGTGTTGGATTTGGCTTAGAGCTTCAAGGTGAAAGGGGTAGGGGATAAAGCTTTCTATGTATTGTAATGAAAATATGCGTTATCAAGGAGGTGAGAAAATATTTTTCTGCTTGCAAACTCTAGACTTGTTTTCTGACATGGATGTTGCATTTTGAACTTAGGAGACAAATTTAAAACGCAGTGGCTTAGTGTGCAGTACAAATCTAGCTACTTCTCCCCTATACCCTTAATCAGCGCTGGCAAAAGCGTTAAATCACAGCTTCCAAAGAGATGCTTAGAAGCAGCTTGCAGTACCTCCAAAGTGCTCATGAGCTCGCTGCCTGGAAGATCTGGAATAGGCTTAGCCACTTTACTTTTCTGCTTAAAAAGAACAATTTCACATGCCTAAGGTGCAGGAGCTGTGTCATTAAGGACAGCACCTGCTGTGTGTGGAATGGGCTGTCCACAGGAGCCATTGACAATGCTACCTTTCCCTGTGGGGGAGGACGGGGGACAATGAATATGCAAACCTCCACTCTGAAAGCATGCTGGGTGACCTGGCTGTTAGGATCTCGGGGATCTGCTTTTATGAGGGTTAAAATATGGTTCTTCAGATGGTTGGAAGTTTGCAGTACTGGAAATACATTCATCAAGAAAACGTGTGGATCTTTGATCCCCTGCTTGAGACTTATTCTACTCTGGGCATCCACATCCAGGGGGTCACATGGAATGGGCCTTAATGAGGGTTATTAGGTTCAATCTTTTTTCTACCCATAGAGGCAGCTTTGGGGTTGGCCAACTTATGGCCAGGTGGCCATTGACCTCCCTCCAGATACTCCCAGCGAGAATGAGCCAGGCAAACAGTAGGTGCTCAATGAATGCTCACTGGAATAGCAGTTCCAGTGGGCGATCTCTAAGCAAGGTTTAACATGCTGCAGTTTGTCTCTAGCTGTGAAGGGCAGGACTATATAGAGAAGATAAATGGTGACAAATGTCCTGGGAGATGGATTTAAATGCTGGGCATGCTCTGCTTTTCTGGGGTGGGGGTGGTCGAGAGAGCTAGGTTCTATTTCAGGCCACTCGGTAACCTCAGGGAAGTTTGTGTGTCTCTGAGCTCCTATCTCCCAATTTATAAACATAGTGTTTGTTCAGAGTCCATGAGATCAAGGGTCTCTGACTAGTGTATGTCCAGGTAGTGGAGCCCATCTGCTCAGGGCCAGCAACCTAAATGGCCAACATTCCAATCCCTGCTGGTCCTTCTTCACAGCCTTCCAAACATTTCTGGGCAAAGCAGATGTCTCCCGAGAGCTGGAGGAGGCCCTGGCTGAGAGCCGTGTGCAAAGGAACCTCTGCATGGTGTCCGTGTTGGAGCTTCTGAGGGCGCCCTTTGTCCGCTGGCAGGTCATCACTGTGGTCATCACCATGGCCAGCTACCAGCTATGCGGACTCAATGCGGTGAGTGCAATGCCTCGACCCACAAACACACATACACACACACACCAACAGAGAAAGTGAGGGAGGCCAGGATTCGGGTGGCTCAGGGTGTGAGGCCTGGATGCCTGACTTAAGCTCCAGCTCTATAAGCCTCCACTAAGGCTGTGCCTCTGAACATCTGTTCAGATGTTCGGACTTGGCTGGTCCTCAGTTCTCACCTCTGGAGGATGTGCTAGAAGGGTAGGGAGCAGACTTTTCCACAGTGTCCAGTTCAGCAGCCAGCAAGGCTGTCTCCTGCACTGTCACCAGTTGTTTTACTGTGTGTCCCTGGAAATACTTAAGAATCGTGGTGCACAATAAACAGACACAGGAAGTCCAAGGACAGAGGACCAATATGCTTTAAATAGAAGCAAGTCTTGGTTGTGTTGGCTTCAGCTTGTTGGAGCCTGAGCTAAGGCCTCTAGCTCTCTCCAGTGTCCCAGAAGGTAAAACCCCCAAATCTGAGAAGTGTTGTTGCTTCTGGGAAACTGAGTGGGATGTGTCGCTTCGGGGTGTGGTCAGCTCTCCATCCGTGAAGGGATGCAGACAGGCTTCCAGGTACACAGCACTGAGAGCATCTAACAGAGGGAGAGAAGGGTAGGCAGGGCCTCCAGAGAGCCCAGAAGAGGGAGATCAACACTGTACCTGCTCAACGAGAGCCTGCCACCCCCAACTATCATTCTGGTGGTGTGAGGGTGGGAGAGGAAGTGACTGCAAGGCTCCTGTCCAGAAGGGCGGTGGCGGCTGCCTAAGAAAACAGCAGTCACAGGTTCTTCCTAATTTCAACAACTCCAGATTCTGTTTTTGGAAATTGTGGTGTAAAATGAGATCACTTTGTTCCATAGAGATTTTTGCCTTTTCCTTCAGTCCGGTTATATGAGAAGAACGAAGTGAAGTGGTGGCATTAAGAGCTCAGCCTAGGCCCAGGGTGGCCACTGCCCATTCTGTAGTTTCCTTCCCTAGACAAGTTCAAGGTCAGGTGTATCAGACTCTCAAGAATGCACTGTTTATGAAGGCTCACACTTAAGAGTCTTAAGGACACATGGAATTTACACTTACTGAGGCAGTTAGATGGAGAGCCATGACAGTACTGGGCAGACCCGTCTCCTCCACCAGGACCTAACTTCCCATCCATTTATTCTGTAATGGATGAACCGTGCCAGTGTGTCTTCAAGCCCAAGGGCACAGAGTTGTACCAGAAAAAAAAAATCTGTCTGGTGAGCTGTAGGCTGGTGACTGTTTCCACCTTCCCAGCTCACTTTCTTTCCCTGACACAGGACAAAGATCTCCAGACTAACTCAGAGACCCAGCTTCCCACATCGATGTTACCATGAACCTATAGCCAGAAACCTGAGCCATCTGCTTCCTGTGGCCTGAATTTGCGCTTAGCTGTGGTCCTGATCAGTGGAGCTGTCCTTCAGACCCCACTGTAAAGTACAGAGACATAGAGACATTTTCTCAAAGGAAAATGTCTATACAGCTAGATGCTGTATAGAGATTTGAGCACCAATTGCCTGAACTTCAAGTTAAGCCTCAAGCAGGGAGTGTCCTCAATATCCCCTCAGATTATCTTATAGACAATAGGGACTCATACTGGTTAGTGGTAAATGCCAGCCGCAAGCCTGGCACGTCAAATTGGGTCCAGGCCCTCTCCTGTGCTGCAGCCTTTTTCTCCATACCCCAGAGGCCATAGCCAAGAACTCAGCTTCTGTGTCCTCTGGGTTGTGCCCACATTGAGTTAATAGCCTTTAGTTACCTCAAAATTCCTTGTCCATGTGGAAAAGTTTGTTCCCTTTCAGTCACCTATCAGTCAGGGTCAAGAGTCAAGGTTTTCAGCCATAGTGGATTCAAGTTCCTGCAAAGGAGAGCTGGCCTGGGGGTGGGGGGGTACATTGATCCAGACATTCTGGAGACAGAAGCAGAGGGGGTTGGGGCTTTGACACAGGGTAGCCCGAGCAGCCATTCTCATCATAACTTACACATCAGCAATGTTCTCTTCAGCCAAGCCAGCAGGACACTCACAGCACATTGCTCAACCATGTGGCCTCTCAGATTGGCAACTTTAAATTTAAGATAAAGTGAGGCTAAAAGGGCCTTCAAGATGTTTGTTAGCCCTCTCCCACCCTCTCCCTCTTGTCAGCAGAAAGAGACTCTTTAAGAAGGAACTGTGAAATGGGGAGATGGCCCAGCTAGTAAAGTCCATACTGTGTGCAAGCACGAGGGCTTGAGTTTCATTTCCATGACCTACATGAAAGAAAGAAAGAAAAAAAAAAGCCAGTATGGTGGCAAATGCCTGTAATGCCAGCACCTGGAGACCGACAAGTGGATCCCAGGGCCCACCTATCATCCATCCACCCTACCTGAATCAGCAGGGCCAAGCTGGTGAGAGACCCTGCTTCAAAGAACAAGGTGGATGCACCTGGAATGACAGCTGAGGTTCACCTCTTATTTACACATACACGCGGCACACGTGTGTGTGCTCACACACATACAGGGGATGGTGACAGATTAACTAATATCTGAGTTAATTCAGGGCTCTCACTGGGTAGCAATTCCCACCTTGTGTTTTTCTTGTGTGTGTCCATTTTCAAACCCTACCTATTTTAGCTGGTTTAGTCCCAAGAGACCCTTAGTCTGTGCACATGCTGGCCTGCAGCCAAACCTGCTGTTTCATGGCAAAGCTGTTGATAGAACAAGAATGGGCAGGGGAAAGCACTCATGCTTTGAACTGGGTAAGGACCAGAACAGGACACATAGAAAATGCAAGCAGGATCTGCCCAGCAGGGGCAAAGCCTGAGAGAGCAACCAAAAGAAGTTAATAAATGAGCAGGCCTTTTCCTCCTAGATCTCAAAGCAGTGTCCTAGATCATTGTACGTGGAAAGTACCCACCCCTGAAAGAAGCATAATATAAATGAATTATATTCCCCTGGTGTATGCATTTCTTGTCACCACTGGACATCAAGAAAAAAATCACAGCACTGACATCAAAGCACTTTTCATCGTATAGCTCAGGAGGTCAGAGGTCCTCAAATCAAATCAAGCCACACTCCTCCTGGACACACCAGGATAAAATCCATCCCTCTTTTTTCCCAGCTTTTTAGGAGCTGCCTCCTTCCCTTGGCTTGTGGCCTCCTTCCTCCATCTTCAGAGTGAGCAGCAATGCAGTATGTTTGCTTTCTTCCCCTTCCTCCTCTTCCAGCTCTACATCTTCTCTCTCCAGCTCTGCCTCTCCATTTCCCCTTTATAAAGAATGATGCCATCTACATCTCACTCAAGCAATCCAGGAGAACTGCTGCCCCAAGGGCCTGACCATGTTTACAGTCAGATTTGCCATGTAAGCCGAGATTCCCAGACTCTGGGATGGTGATGTTTTGGAGGGACAACAGTTCCGCTCACCATGTCCAGCAAGCATGTCCAGGTCAGCATTGTCTTGCTCTGGGCATTGTAGTTTGAATGTAGACTGTCCCCATGTGCTAGGGCTCATGGTCCCCAGGTGGTGGTGCTGTGTGGGGAAACGGTAGACAGCTTAGAAGATCGAGATGAGCAAGAGGAAGTGGGTTCCTGAGGGACAGGTCTCAGGGGTCACAGCCCAGGTTCCCATTTGCTTTCTACTTCTTCACCTCTGAGATTGGGAGGAGTCCTACCTCCGTGAATCATGCCACAATAGACTGTACCCTCTCAAACCATGAGCCAAAATGAAACAACCAAAACCATCCCCTGAAGTTACTTCTTGCCAGATGTTTCGTCACCACCAGAGCAGTCACTAATATGCTAGACAAAGGTGACGCCAGCATCGACATTTGTTGGCAAAGTCAGATCACATCTTTTAGCTCATGGCCACTGTGTTTACTGCCAAGAGCAGATACAGGAGTTGGGAGCCACAGGTGGCAGTAGAGGGCTCTGTGTCATGCATGTACTGCAAGAAAAGTGGGTTCTTAGGAGGCACCTCTCCATTCTGGTTGTCATTGTATAGGGAGTAACCCCTGCGTTTTCTTCAGTCCTTTCACAGCTATGAAGGGCTAGAATGATGCCACAGCATACTGCCTCATCAAAACACTATGCCAGGAGCTAAGAGTTAGGTGCTAGGATACTCAGGAAGATGCCATCTCTGCCCCTGTGAGGCTCTACAGGCATGCACCTCCAAAAAGGTGCCTCCCACACAAACTGGTAGCACAGGCTTTTTTTCCCTGAAGAGTCTGCATGTCTCCATTGAAAGATGGAACCATCTAGAAGGATGCCTATGTTTGTTCTGCAAAGGCTTTTCCTGGATGCTTCAGCATGTTAGAACCGCTGCAGTAGGGAACCTGGGGCAACCTGAAAAAGGGGAGGTTAGTGGAGGGAATTGCTCATGCCGACTTGGTGAGACGAGGGCAGTCCTGGTTCTGTGGTTCCACAACTCTGAGCGTTCCAGGCTCTTCCTTCCTCATTTCACAGGGGCCTCCAACTCTCCAATCATATCACCTTCAGTTCACACAGAGGTCAAGGTGAAGGCAGTCACCTCCCCCTCCTTGAAATGAGCGTGGGGGCAGGGTGCTACATAGATCAGGCAGAAGGGGACAAGACTGCCTCAAAGGCTCCAGGCTGGGGTTGGGGGGTGAGAGACAGCTCCTACCCACTGTTGTCTAGATGTATTTAGCAAGATGGCTCAGCCCTCTTCACGGCCACGCTATAATGAACACAGGCTATTATGTCCAGTGACTCTCACCGCTGACTTTCAACCTTCTGAGGATGTCCACAGCTGTGCCACTTCAGGGAGAATGGAAACTAGAGAAGAAAGGGTCATGGAGGGCATAGGAGCTGGAAGATGGTGTGGGGCTGGAGAATAGCTTCTACAGTAACACATATACCAAGCATGGGCAGGGGTTAGAAGCTCTGTCTCCCTGTTAGTGGAAGGCATCGTGGTTCTAAAACCTAGGGTGACAGTAAAGAACATCTCTTAATTGAGCCTGTGACCCCACTGTATCTGGGTCTTCATCTGGGAGACAATGGCTACCAAAGGGGAAGGAGCATGTGTGACCAATCTAGGGACACTGAGGGTTTGGAATGATGGATCACCTCAGAGCTGCAGGAGCTGGTGGCCTAGTGAGGTGCTGTCTCTGCCCTGCAAGTGTGGCAGCCAACATTTATTCTGGCAACCTAAAGTCCTGCCTTCCCTCCCCACTCAGTGGGGAAGCAGATAACACAGTGCAGCACCTTTTTACTTCCTGTGAACATTAGACTGCATCTCTGCCAAGGGAGGCCAAGGATCAGGACAGTAACTCATTTGTACCATGTCTCTGGGTGTTCGGGAAATGCTAGGAAGAATGACCTGTCACTGCAAACCTAATCAGCTGTTGGATACAAGTTAGTCCTGATTCTCACTGCCCAGGGCACAAATAGCTTCTCAAACAAGTGTTTGTAACAAGACATGTTAGGAAACAAGGGCTTCCTCACACAAGCATGGGAGCAGTATAGCCAGGGCTGTGCCTGACACCAGAGCTGTGGACATCAGTGGCTCTGCCAAGAACTGCACAGGCCCGGTGTTTCTGTATGTGAGGGGGTGCAGGGAAGAAACTGCTGACATGATGGATCCATGATATGGTTATGGTTTTTGTTGTAGACATGAGAGAGAACAGCCAGAGGCATCTGGAGAGTCCAGCACAGAGAGAGAAAGTAGAAGACCAAACATGGCCGGCAGACTGGACATGGCCGGGGCTAGGAAAGTGGGAAAATGGGAGAGATTAGTGGAGATAGTGGGATGGCAAGAGATAGAAAATAGAGCATAGTGTGAGAGAGTAAGAGCATGAGAGTGAGTAGAATTAAGAGAGTGAACGGGTAGTGAGAGAGGAGAGAGAGCTTGAGTAGGAGAAAGAGGGTGAATAGTGACAATGTCAGGGCTATGAGGATGATGAGTAGCTGGGGGAGGAATCCCATGAGATGGAAGGAGTTTAGGCTAGGATGCTAGCATAGACTCTGAAATGTGTAACAGGTACTTGTGACACCCAGGGAGCCAGAGGCCAGCACCAACTTTGATATGCTGATAGGCACCACAGGTATCCAGATGTCCCTTCTGCCAGAGATAATAGAAACAGCCCCTTCTGGCAGCTGGGAACCAGTTTCACAAACTCCAGAGGAATTCTGGCTTTTATCTAACTGCCAGAAATCCTCCTACAATCCATGTGGAGGTCCTTTCTGGATATCTGGCCTGTCTTTGGGGGTTTGGGGAGTTGGAGTTTGCTTTAGACCCGACTGTGCACGTACAGTTACACAGACCACGGGAACATCATCTGTACTGTGTGTACTGCTGTAGATTTATCACAGCAGTTTCTACCAGGTGATAGTAAAATGTCCTGTGAAGCAAAAAGTTTCTGATTCTCGCAGAGCATACTTAACCAAGGCCAGCTAATGACCCAAAAGGGTTACTGAGGTCCAGCCATCACATTCATGATGCTGGCCACAGAAGGGAGAGTGGACAAAAATAAAACAAACGTGAGAGCATACCTCTTTGATAGTGTTTCTTTAATAGAAGAGGAGGAAGAAGTAAGGGCAGGAGGGACAGGGCGTGGCCAGTGAGACAGTTCACCCAGTAAGGGTTCTTGCTGCCAAGTCTGACCGGTGTTCAATTCCTTGGCCTCACATTGTGGAGAGAGAACTGACTCCTAAGACTTCTTTCTGACTTCCATTCCCCCAACACACACACTGGCAGACGTGTGCTCCACCGCCCTCACAAAAAAATAAATAAATGAGTAAATAAATAAATATAGGACTAAAGTAACAGGAAGCTTCCTGCCAGTCCCACCAATGTTTCCGTTGCTACCTCACCGCAAGGCAGTATGGGAAGCAGTGTCTTGGGTGGTCAGATGTCACTTCCAGGAATGCAGGAGTCTGTTAGTGAAAAAGGAAGGGAACCATGTGTCCACATGGGGCAGCCCATGCTTGAGTCTGGATTCAGAGAGAGCCTCACACCTTGGTCTAACCTTGGGAAGAGGCTGGGGTCTCTTGATGATCGCCCTTGTTCTTTTCCGAATTACAGATCTGGTTCTACACCAACAGCATCTTTAGGAAAGCCGGGATCCCTCGGGACAAGATTCCGTACATCACACTGAGCACAGGTGGAATCGAGACGCTGGCTGCCATCTTCTCTGTAAGTCACCAAGAGCTCCGAGATTGCCATACGGGCTGGATGGCTCACGGGCATCCAGGGGAACTAACAGGGTTTGCTTCATGAGGGTGGGTCTTGTCAGAAGACCCTGCCTGGATTTGGGAAAGGCTCATGCTCTATGGGCCCTTTAGCCCACCTAGGCACTTCCTCAATGTATCTCAATTCCTCCGGTCTCCAGTCAAAGCTGAGCCCTATAGCTCTGGCTGTGTGGTGCTGGACAGTGTGCTCAAGCTGTCTGAGCCTTAGCTGTTCTCTTAATGAAGTTCACATCCGTCTTCTTGTGGGAGTGTGGTCTGTGCTTCACTCTGTAGACACATAGTATGCTCCGGGTTCTTCAGAAATGAAAGAGGGATGAGTTGATGTCGCTGACACGGCAGAGTATGGGTTCAGTGGAGATGCTTGGGTATTCAAGCTCCCTCGCTGATCTCCACTGATGATAGTGGAGTGCTGACTTGTCAAAAGACTCAATTTTTCTCCTTGCCTTCTTAGATCATTCTAACAATCTACTTCTTAAAAATGGACACCATTAAAAATGGAGATGAGTGATGTTCGGGTTCTTTGCTGATCTGCTCTTTTGTCAGAGGGAAAATATTTCAATACTTTGCCATCTGCGTGTGTCAGCGTGTCAACGGGACTGCACCAATCCCATTATTAATTCCAACTTTGATCAACAGAACTCAGTTCCATCCTGGGGTGGAAATGGTGGAGGAAGCCGAAGAGGGCTTGAAGTTTGTTTTTGTTTGTTTTGTTTTTGTTTTTGTTTTTGTTGTTGCTATAAGAAACCAATACCAACTTATTAGCATAAATTTGTAAAAATCCAGAAAAAACTTAAAAGAATAAAGAGATTCCCTCTAATCAGCATGGGCAGCCTGGGGAATGCCCACTTTACTCTGATTACAGCTTTGTTCTGAGCCTGGGAGGCCGTGGCTCGTCTGCATCGCAGCCTGGGTCCTGCTTTTGAACCAGCAGCTGGTGCAGAATGGCTTCCCTTCTACTATTGATCTGACGGCTTTAATGGGGTGCACCACACAGCCAGAAAAGAGTCTGTATGAGCATCTGCTATGGTAACGAGGACTGTATTAGCCCCCCAAAGCCTGTGCCCCGCTTCCTTTCTTAGGCTCCACCCACAAGGTGAGGTTGTTGGCATCTCTACTCAGAACATGGATACACCAGGTTCCTATCCTAGCTCTGCTCCTTCTGAGACAGGTGACTCTCTGAGCAAGTTGTTCACTGTCTCTGTGGTTCAAGTTCCCCTTTTCTATAAGGACATGTCCCTACCTCACAGACTAAGTGACACTAAGTGATGACAGGGCTGGAGAATGGTGCATGCTCAGTGGGTGCCCACTGTTCTGTGTGGCCAGGTGAGTCACACCCTATTGCCTGAGGTGAGGTTATGGGACAGGTCCTTGTGTCCTTGCAGAGAAGGACGTCACAGGGACACTGTCTGTGTGTGTGGTGGTAGGCTTCACACCCCTATAATCCCACCCCCAACACACACTTACCAGTGGGGTGGGCTTAGAGAAATTCCCACACAATTTCTGAATAGATTTGCACATTTATAAAATTAGCTTTTAAGCCTTGCCATCTGTGGCAGGCAAAATTAATGGATCCCAAAGACCCCCAGGTCTGAGGTCATACAGGCCACGAGATTATGTCAGAGGGAACTTCACAGGTGGGAGTGAGGATTCTGAGATGTGGAGGTTACCTTGGATTGCCGGGGCAGACAATGAATCTTTGAAATTACAGAAGGAATTGGGACAAATGGTCAGTGAACAGCAGGAGAGATGAGGATGCGAGGTAGAAAGGGTACCATTGCTGCCTGACCTGGAAGATGAGGAAGGAATGGGGGATGTAGAATGTGTAGGTCCTCCGGGGAATGGGCAAGCTGGTCTTTTCCTCCACAGGGTCTCCACAGGAAAAACTGTGTGTGTGTGTGTGTGTGTGTGTTTTCCTGCAAGACCCATTGTATACCTCTAGCTGCCCAAACCATAAACTGCTACTTTTGAGTTGGTTTAAGCTGTTCATTAAGGTAACAACAAGATACTTTAAACTCTGCAAGAAAGAGTAGTCATAGAAACAAAAATCAAAGCCTATGGCGGGTGCCCCTCCTCCCGAAGCTCAACATTCAGTAAGTCCTCTGCTCATTCCAAAGTTTGTGTGACCTGCTTTTCATCCAACCCCTCGGGGTAATTGCCTATCAATAAAAGGATGCCCTGATTTTTTTCCACTCTTTTTACTGAGATTTTTGACGGTCTATTAAAACGGCTCTGAGGCCTAATAAAACTGGAGATGGGAAGACACTCTCCTCCTTTTGATCTGCAGTTAATTTGGGCAGCAGCCATCGCTCAGCAGCTTGCTGGCTGTAAATAATTACCATCTTGCAGAACAGCTGGCTTTCCAGACTGTTTTTTTGGGCTTCAACCGTGCTGTTCAGATGAGTGAACTTCCCAGAGAGTGTTTTTCTCCCATGAGGATGAGTGTCCACAGTGGGGTAGGCCATAAGGAGCCAGGGCTGTGTGGTGCCAGGATCACTGTGAAGCCAGTTCTGCCTCTGGTAAGAAGCACAGACTCTGTTTTCACAAGCCAGAGGCAGGATCCAGAGCAATGGGGTCTTGTTCATGGCAGCACAGCTTGGAATCATGCTATGTTGAACTAAATACAAATCTTTAAGGGTTTCCAAACTTCCTAGGAGTCCTGTGATTTCAGCGTCACGGTCTGCGTTCTCTGTGGCCGTGGTGTGAGATAGTGGAGCTAATGTGTGTAGAGTATAAGGTTGTGGGTGACAGAGAACAACTATAGTATATCTGGGCTTAGTGGTCTCCTGGTTCTGTTGCTGGGCATTACCTGGGTAGCTTTGGGGTCAGATGCCTAGGTTGTGGACCCCCCCCAACTTTCTTCTCGGGGATTGGTGGTAGTAACAGGTCATCCCAGCAAGAATTGCTGAGGACCTCACTAAGTTCAATGGAGGCCAGTACATGTCACTTTTTCCGGTGTGACTCCCTAAAACTCACATCCTGAAGCCCCCAAGTCCCTCCCAATGTAACGTCATTTAGAAACAGGTTATTGCAAGTATTGTTAGTGAAGCTAGGCTTGGCTTACACTGGAATAGGCTGAGCCCCCAAATTCATTATGTCCTTGCAAGAAGGGAAAATTTGGACACAAATACAAATAGAGAGAGCACCCCATGAATACTGGAGACTTGCTGCTAAATGCAGGAGATCAGGGCAGCTCTCAGAAGCCTGGGGCGGGGCTGAGGCAGACCCTCCCCCGCATCCTTACAGGGAGCCAGGCTCTCCCAGTGCCTTGATCTTGGGGTTGCAGCTTGAGAAAGGTGAGGAGCATCCCTGAAGTCTGAATCCTGACGTCTGTAGCACAGTATTACTGCTACCCCTGTTGGCTATTTGAGACTGAGTCCTAGTTCACAGAACAGAGCCTAAGGGAACTCAGCAGCGGAGACACCCCAGCGGAAACAGAGCCAGCCATCTGCTATGCTTCCTGCCCCTGCAGGGGTTGGCAGTGCTGGCAGCCTCCTCTGAGCTGGACAGTTCTGACAATTAGAACCTGTGCAAGAACTTTACACGGTGCTCAGATCTGATTGTTTCAATGACTGCCGTGCCCTATGACAGTTTCTGCATGATAGCGAGATTTTGGTCTTTGAAGCTACTCTGCTCTCTACTCTCCCATCCCAGGCTGAGTCTCTCCCAGTTCTGATTCCCAGTTTTCTGACTGTTGCCTGGCTGATGGATGCTTGATCAAGGTTGGCCCCAGTGCCCCCAAAGCCTCAGAAAAGTACAATGGGATAATATCCCATTTGAGCCCTCCTGTGTCTGCTTTTGGTTGAAATATCTCAAGCTTGCTTTAGTTTATTCCTCCTAGAGACCTCAGGCTCTCAGGAGTGACAGTGAAGAGGCGGTCCCTGTTGCCCACACTTTTGCTATAGACACATAAATGGGCCTCTCATAGACATTTGCCATTTTAACAGAAATTTCCAAGCAAATTTCCATCTGCCTGGACTTCTCTGCAGGGAGCTGAGCCCATGCTGTCCTAGTCCCTGCTCTCATCCTTCTGGAGCCAAGGCTTTGGCTATCCAGAGGGTCAGGGGGGCTGGGTGGTAAAGAGATGTACAAAGAGTCCCTGGGGGAGGCGGGGCAAGATGGCAGCGCCGGGAGGACTCTCATCCTGAGGAGCACCACTGCAGGATTGGCACAGTGACCAGCAATCAGAACTCGTGGCCATAAAACACAAGTGGTTGTGTTTCTCAGGTGAGAGGATACCCCACGGTGGGGGATTTGATCAGCTTTAACTCACCCGGCAAAACCGCGGAAGAGATCCCCATTCCGCCAGGCGCTTGGTCGCCAGCCCAGAGCTACCCGCCAGCGCGATCTGGTCACGGTCCCAGACTGAACTGTGGGCCCACAACACCATAGACTGGATTTCCCAGTCGAGAGATAACCCCACGGAGCAGGAAACAATTGGGACCGACCCCAGGTTACCCAGACATCCCCTGGAAAAGACTCGGGTTCCGCGGGTGCCCCAGGAGCCAGCCCGGACCCAGAGCCGGGAGGGACAAAGGCGCCTGCCTGCACAGAGCCCTGCCTGCGCATGTGATTCGCCGCCTCAGATAGAACTGTGGGCACCAGGGCAACAGGGCACCAGACTGCGTGTCTCTGGCAGGAGGAAACCCCCAGCGGAGGGGGTCAGCAGCTCTAACGCTTAGGACACCCAGCACCAAAACACTTCCTGGACTCACGCAGACTCTAGTGCAGGCAGAAGCACTGTGCTCTGCCGCCATTGTTGCGTTCCCCTGGGGCACTGGGACACACAGCTGCATCCTCGGACCTGCAGGAGCCGAAGAGCCATTACAGCAGCCCTCAGATACTGTGCCAGGGATCGGCCAGTTGTCCCTGGCTGGACTGCCAAAACTGTAGGAATCCCTGATCCTTCAGGGGGGCTGCACCCACAGCGTCTGGACCAGAGTGGTG